CACAGAGGAACAGGGAGTTATTAAAGGTAAAATCAAATCTTTAATTTGTCTCATTCTTAATTGACCTAATAGATAACTGTTTGAAGTAATAGCAGCAACCGTGTGCTGGGTGATTACGCCATACGGGCACATGACAGAAATGGCAGCAATGCTGTAAGGAGGGGAGAGAGGCATTGAGGATGCTCAGTTATAAGGTACCCACACTGCCCACGAGTGAGTAGGGTACTATGTGGAAGTGAGTTTAGAATAGTTTTTAGTGGTTCTTCTAGAGTTTGCGATACACATTTATAATGAATCAGCAGATCGGGAAGGAAGAAATGGAGATTCTTTTGTTCACAGATGACATGACTATAAACAATCCCAAAAGAGCTGACCCCCAAGATGTAACCAAATCGACCCAAAGAATTGACCAAAACACTCCTGGAACCAATATGTGGTGACAGCAAGATTACAGGACATAAGCTTAATAGGAAAAAGTCAATCATTTTCCTATAATGAGCATTGTGCAATTGAAACTGGAACTATAAACACAATATCGTTTATAGTAACACCTGTCAAAAAGCCTAAAATAATCAAGTGTGATTTTTTAATGTATAAGATTTACATGAGGAAAACTATAAAGTGCTGATGAGAGAAATCAAACAAGATCTGAATAGCTGGGGAGCTGTTCCATGGCCTTGGATGGGAAGATTTGCTGTAGCTAAGAGGTCAGTCTTCCTCAACATGATCTATAAATGTAATGCAATCTCTGTCTACATCCGGCGTATGGCACATGACATCATGCATTTGTCAAAATCTGTAGGCCTGCACAACACAAAGTGTGAACTTCAGTGCAAACTAAGGACTTCAATTAATAATAATGTATTAATATTGGCTCACTAAGTATCACAAATATACCACATTAATGCAAGATGCTAATAATGATGTAAATTGTGTATGGGGTACAGGGGGTATATGGGAAATATCTCTACTAGCTGCTGAATTTTTCTGCAAATCTAAAAGTATTCTTAAAAATAAAATTTATGTGTATGAAATATTTAAAAACCATCATGAGGTACTATTAAACTCCATTTGAATGGCTAAAATTATGACTGACAATACCAAGTGGTGTCAAGGAGGCAGAGCAAGTGGAAATCCCAAACCCTGTTGACGGGAATGTAAAACAGTGCGGCCACTTTGGAAAACAATGTGAAAGTTGCTGCGTCTACCTTATTTCACTCAGCCTATGTCCTCCAGGTTCACATGTGGTGTTGCTAACGTCAGGATTTCCTTGATCCACTCATCCATCTAGGGACACTTGAGTTGTTCCTCCATCTTAGCTGTTGTGGGTAACACTGTGGTAAGCATGGGGAGTACAGGTATCTCTTCAAGGATTCCATTTTCTTGGAATAAGTACCCAGGAGGGGGATGGCTTGAAGCTCCCTGTGTACGTTTGTTGTCTCAGCAATATTAACAAGGTAGGTCTGGCTCCCTTCTAACAGTTTAGGGAAATGGAGCTCAATGAGGTTAAGTAGTTTATCCCGATGGTCCAAGCTGTTATTACCTTGCAGATAGAGCAATTTAAAGACAGGCCTTTCCGACTCCAGTGCCCATGGCCCTTCCTTCACATCGAACCATCTCTCTCTCTCTCTCTCTCTCACACACACACACACACACACACACACTCACACACACACACACACGTGTGCCAATTAAATAAATTCCACAATTATTTCCCCAACTTATGAATAAACTGTGCTTATCTGATATAATCCAGGAGGTATCCACCAGATAAAAACTTTAGGAAAGATGATATTACTAAAGAGTGTTACGTACCTCAAGGACTTTGAAACATAATGGGAAAAAATCCTGTGAATCACCTGAATCTCTCTCTCACAACCACAGTGATTTATGTCAGCTGCCTGTCCAGGAAGCATGTTTCAGGGATCATTAAGAAAACAGTCCTCAGTGGCAGTCAGGGGGTTCTTGAGACCCCCCTCGGGAAGCTCAGTTAAACCCCCTACCTTCTTTGACAGGAAGCATCCTGGTTCCCTTGGTCTTAAGTGCAGTGAAATGCAGCCTTGAGCTCCATACCACACCACGTGGCTGGAAGGCAACTTGGTGGAAGGCGTTAAAAAAGTACACGTGTACTGTGCCGTGGCTCTGGCGATCGCGAGTATAACGCTGTAACTCCGTGCTGTTGAAACCATTATAGAGAGTACGGGTGCCTATATCTCATCCCCACCGCATCAGATCAAACTCACTGATCTCAGCTTCTGGGAGGAAAGAGGAGGCCTTGCACCAGCTCCCCTCGGGGTGCTGCTCAGCAGCCCCAGTGGTCCAGGCCACGTGGCCACAATGCAGGGAGCCCCGTGGGCCGGGGCCCAGCACCGAGAAGCCCGGGGTCGGAAGTCGCAGCTCCCTCTAGCGGGCCTTTAGCCACACTGCTCCTGGCGACCGCAGGGCCCTCCCTTCAGTCCCTTCTCTTCTCCCACGTAGGGGCGCTTGGCCGTAGGAGGATCGGTTCGAGATAACTTCCAGCGCTTGGTGGAAAAACTCTGCCATTGGAGACACCATGACATCGCTGGATCTATATTTTAGCAACAAATCTTCCGTGGTGAGATTTGTAGAAATGGAAGGTCATTTGAGTTGTTCTCATTTAAGTCCCTTGCTTCCAAACGCGCCCGGTAAGCTCCCAGGGGAACGCTAAGAATCCTAAGTCAGTCCTCCACCCACGTCTGTTGGTGGTAAACTCTGTGCGGACGTCGGGGTTCACCTGCTCGTCTGAAGACCCTCACCAAGCATCCGGTCGTTATGCTTTAACACGTCGGCGAATCAGGGAACCTGACTGCTGAGTGCAGTTGGAAGGCACATGGACTTCATGCTGGACCACCTCAGGGGAGAAATGGGCAAACGCCCACTTGGAAACGTTTTGTCCTTTGAAATGTCTTCTTTGTGTTCAGAGGGGCCCAGGGAAACACTGCGTGTGCGCCAGATGTCACGGAGGGGCCCACCTGCCCCTCAGGGGTGAGCTGAGCTCAGTGCGTCTTTGAGAAATGATGTCGGAGGTGGAAAAATGACGACAGGAATGTTGAAAAAGGAACGTGACTATTTAAATGTTATAGTGAATTTATCAACTGCTCAAAGCAAATATTTTGCTACTAAAAATTTGTTCGAGAGTCATACGAGTCTGAAAATAAACACATCGCAAGCTGCATCTTCAAATATCCCATCAGAAAAAAAAATGAGATGAAACCAATAAGAGAGAGACATTATATTAAAAAAGATTAAACTCTTCTGTCTTCTGTTTTGGAAAAAAATATTTTTAACTTTTTTCATCCTCACCTGAGGACATTAAAAAAAAGAATTTGTTTATTGATTTTAAAGAGTGGGGAAGGGAGGGAGAAAAAGAAGGAGAGAAACACTGATCAGGTACAACTTTCTGTTTGCGGGATGAGGCCCCACCCACTGAGCCACACCAGGCAAGGCCCAAGCACATTTGAGAGAGAGAGAGAGAGAGAGAGAGAGAGAGAGAGAGGGAGAGAGAGAGGGAGAGAGAGAGGGAGAGAGGGAGAGAGAGGGAGAGAGAGAGAGAGAGGGAGAGAGAGGGAGAGAGAGGGAGAGGGAGGGAGAGAGGGAGAGAGGGGGGGAGAGAGAGGGAGAGAGGGAGAGAGAGGGAGAGAGGGAGAGAGAGGGAGAGAGAGGGAGAGAGAGGGAGAGAGAGGGACATCAATGCGAGAGAGAGGCATGGCGGCCGTTGACAGATCCGGACCACAGGTTCCATGAGAGCGGAAGGGCCTGAGGATCGAACCCACAGCTTAGGCGTGTGCCCTCCCAGGAACCGAACCCACAGCCTTTCAGTTATGGGATGACGCACCAACCGAGTGAGCCACGCCAGCCAGGGCTCACTGACCTTCTCAAAGTTGGCAAGTTTCCAGGATAAAACAGAAAATTTTCCATCCATCCATGCGTGAGTGGCCTGCAACTCAGAAATGTACTGTATCCTGGATTGTAATGAACATGAAATTTCTCCTTATCTTCATTTTGGTCAATACTAGGGTTAAAATAATCTTATTTGGTTGACTCTAGGGAAGAATAGTGTGAAAATTCTAAATAATGAGGAAGGGGTTTCATCTTAAATCATGGAGCGTTAGACTACCGTGGTGATTTTTAGGGAGCTAAGAGTTTAAGCTACGGAGTTAGTTAGAAGGAACAGCCCGAAAAGACAAGCACAGGGCTGGTGCTTGTCTGTCCATCATTCTTTTCTTCCATAAACTTGAAAATGCTCATCAGGTGTTAATGAGCTAGCTATACCTACCTAAGAACTACATATTGTAAAATCTAGTTTTCAGAACCCCAGACTGATTCCTAGACTAAGGTTCAGTCTAGGAATCGCAGACGGAAGGAATGCCCAAGGGCTTAAGTGAGAAAGTGGCATCTCCTCTCAGTCACCGAGGAACTGTTCCTTATCTGCCCATTCATTACTTTAATTAAAAGGCCTCTGTTTCCTTGGCAGTCAGTTCTAATCATCTACGTTTCAAAGCAAAGACAGTTTACTTAAAACCCTTGGAGACTTGTCCCATTTAAAACAAAAACACATGTTTGGGGGGAAAAAAAAAAGTCATCCTTTCCAACTGGCAGTGTCCCTGGGCGTTTTCTGGAACGGTCTCAGAGTGATCCTTCACTCTTCTGAATATTTGACAGTCTTTGTCAAAGCCTGTGATTTTTATCAGCAGAGAGCCCATTAAATGCTGTCCTGGGGAACCTGGCAGGGGGGGACCAGGGATCTTATCGCGCCGGCATCCTCCCGCAGCGCCGGCGGACCTTTCCAACTGGGAAGCAGATAACAGAAAGTGTCCTGCCCGGGGCCCAAGAGTCTCACGTGACTAGAAATCGGGGAAAGGCTGGCCGCTCTGGCGCACTCCCCCGCAGGCTGAATTACAGCTCTCCTACCAGTCCCAGGGCGCTGGATGAGGTCATGGGATCTGCAGCGGAGCGAGATGAAAGGGAGAGCGCCGAGCCCGCGGGCTGGAGGCGGCTTCCAGCACACAGCCCTCAGCTCGGCTCGGGAACCGCAAGGCTGCGCGGATCCAGCCCCTCGGCCCGGGCTGGGGAGAACCACCGGGATTGCCTCCTTGCAAAAAAAAAAAAAAAAAAAGGGGGGGGGGAGGAAAACAACGTGATCCATGTTAAACAAAAGAATCTGTGCACTAATGCGCGCTCGGAGGCGGGAGGCTGCTTGCCTACCTGCTGAAAGGGGACTTTCTGGCTGCCCCTGCTTCTCTATAAACCGAGCCCTGCCTTTGATGTTCTGCAACTGATCGCCGATCGGATTACGGGCATTTCATCTCGCTGCTCCGCTGCCTTTGATCTGCGTGGTTAATTTTATTTTCCTGGATTTGGAGTTTCGCCTGGGCTTGTGCCGACGCACGGCTCCGGGAAGGGAGGGAGAAGAAGCGTTTGGCACCGCCGTGCTGCCAGCGGGGAAGCGAGGCTGCCGAAGGTGCCGGAAGGGCGAGGGCTGGAAAGAGTTCAGCACGTTGCAGGTACAGCCTTTTTTTACGTTCTGTTGCGGCTTTCGCTTCACTGTGCTCGCGTGTGGCAAGGAAAAGATGGCTGGGCTCATTTAAGGACAGGCGTTGCTGCGTTTGACGGCCGCCCTGCGCGCAGGGTCTGTGTCAGGGCGGATAAGACACTCGGTGCCAGTGGTAGTCGTTTGTACAAAAGGGGTGCTTTGCAATCTGTCATGCAAATTTTACTTGGGAAAGAGTTGTTCAAACAGGACAAAAAAATAAAAAATAAAAAAAGGAGTGTGCTAACTTTAGCACGCAGCCCGGGCTCCGGAGCCTGAACCCTGGGCGCTGTGAGTGCCCTGGGTATTCACAGGTTACTTTATTTAGTCCACGGGCGCTGGGACTCCGCCGCCGCCTGTGCTTGCTCGCATAAAAGGGTGCAGCGCGTCCCTGGCCGCGCTGCTTCTGTCGCCTGTTTGTTCTCCCGCCTCCAAGATGCGAATCCATCAAAGACATTTCTCTGTGCAGTTGGTAGCTCCCGGGAATCATTGGGAAGTCCTTTAAGTGTGATTGCTGCTGTTTATGGGTCCAACCGAAGACTTTTTAAGACAGTGAGGGGAAGTGGGGGCTGAGCGTGGTTTAACAGCCCTCTCGTGCGATCCCGCAACCTCTGAAAACGGCACAAGCCTATTCACACAAACATTTACAAGGCTGATATGCCTACATCGACGCTGACTTTGAAGGCGTAGTGGCAGCTGGTCCAAGTTACAGTTGGCCAACTGTTTACGAAAACCGTCTGGGCAGTCAACAGTTACTATGTGACGGGAAGTTTTTATTCATGCTTTACTTTGGTGCACACTCAACGTGGTAAAACCAAAATATGTTGGTGTGCTAAATTTGAACGTGAAGTGTATTTTTGGTTTTGTTTTTGTTTCTGTCAGTTCGCTACACATACACCCATACACACTCACACTCACAGGCACAGAATAAAATTTTTACATTGCAATGCAAGAACTTAAATACGGTGGGAAAGGGAGAGTTCCATCTTCAGGTCGGTTCATTCGACTGTTCTGGTCCTACATTTATTTGGGTAAAGAATTTAATTATCATCACAACCAGCAGTCTATTTTATGCTCTATGAACCACAAAGAAATTATAAGTGAGGAGACCAGTCATCCTTTAGTCTGAAATTCTGATGAAACAAGGAAGATCTTAATGAGGCTCATTTCAGATGTAATTAATTTTTCAGAGCCAATTAATTAAATCACTTTCTAAGCTTTCCTCCCGATATTAGAGGGAGGGTAATTAGCACTGCTTGCTTAATTTTAAAACTTTGAGAGCTGAGAAGTGGAGATTATTTTAAACCAGACTACGCTAACCATGTTTTGTTTTGTTTTTTTAACGTGTCAGTAAGAATTGAATCTAAAAGACTGCACAGTGGCAGTTACTCCAAGAGAGACATTTACATTTTTGTTTTACTGACCATCGACCAGAGCATGTTCCCAGTGTCTTGGACCACCAGTTTAGTTTGATTTTTTTTTTCAGTTTTTTACTCCAAAAGTTCTCTGTAAATCACAGAGGAAGTATTAATGTCCCCAGTCAGGTGAAGAAAATGAAGCGTTTAAAGTGGTGACTGAGGAGACGTCTGAAGAAACAGTGTGCTTAGGAACTCGACCATTCAGTTCAGATTTGGGGTTTTAAAATTTAGTCACGTGACTGTTCTGTTACTAGGTTCCTGTCCACAAGTGCGGAGTCTACTCGGCACGCAACAAATGGGAGAATTGGCAATTATCTGATTAACTTGGCCCTTGCAGAAAACTCGCTTGGGCAAGTCAGGCCCTTGAAAACCCACTTCAGTGTCTGCATTAATGCAGTCAATTGTTTACTCCTTGCGCGTGTCTCCTCTGAGAAATGAAACAGATTCCACTTGATTTTAAGAGAAAGATGGCTCCCACTGCATGCACAGGCCCTGCTCCCGAAGACATTTCTTAATTGCCCCACGATGGTCTTGACTCTGGCTTAAGTAGATATATATACTCCACAGCGCTTCTGCTGAAGGAAGCCTTTATGTTACACTTTTCAGAGCACTTTCCTATCTGTGGCTTCAATGGCAGCCTCGTCACTGCAGAAAGTCCGGCTCTTCAAAAGACTTTTATTTCTAGTCGCAATTCTGTCACCGATGAGCTATGTGGCCTCGAGAGAGTCCCCTCATGTGGAACGTGAGGGAACCGGTCAGATCGCCCTGATGAAGTAAGCGGGGTGGAATTTTTATAGCCACTTTCCAGATGAGGAAACCGAGACTGGGGGAAAGTCACTTGATTATCCTGACTCAGGTCACAGGGCCGGTTACGCAATGCATTGCCCCTTCTGGTCCACCACGCGGCGTCTGTTTTCCAACGACCGAGGACAAAAACGACGCACGGGGCAGCCGATCAGAGGGCGGTGTTAGTTTGAATCGTGGAGACAGCCACTTCCGACTGCAATACATTTGTTTTTTCCTTTCCGTGATAGACGTATCAGCCAACTGGATTAGCCTGGTTATTTCCCGACAGTTCCTTTTGCTGCTCTACTTCTTAGCAGTCTAAACACCATTACTGCTGTACATAATTTACCGTAACATTTGAAATAATATTCCTCCCCAAAGTTAATACGTCATGGAACGTGGAATTATATATATTTGTGTGCCTGTGTGTATGTGTGTGTACATGCTTGACTTTATTTAAGCACATCTCTGTGTGTTTCCAAGGAATTGAAGATGTCAGTGGGGTCCATGAGAAGTTTAATTGCTAATTAAAGGTTGTTACTCCTCCAGGGAAATTCCCAGGGGGATTTTGTGAGATTTCTATCTGCGGATTCGGTATGGGTTTGTACATGATACGTGTTCCGTACTACATTTGTTTAAATGTGTAATTACGTTTGTCATGCCCATTACGCAGATGAGGAAAGTGAATCTCAAAGCGGTCAAATAATATGTGAGGATCACAGGGTTAATTAAACGGCAGCACTTTTTTTGGTCTAGGGCTAGGCTGCTAATTCTTTAAAAAAATATTTTAAAATATATTTTATTGATCATGCTATCATAGTTGTCCCAGTTTTCTCCCTTTGGTCCCCTCCAGCTGGTACCTGCCTTCCCTCCAGCAATCCTCTCCCGTAGTTCATGTCCAAGGGTTGTACATATAATTTTTTTGACTTCTCCATTTCCTATACTATTCTTGACACCCCCCAGTCTATTTTATGCTACCTACCAATTATGTGTCTTTTTAAAAAATACATTTATTTATTTAGAGAGAAAGGAAGTGAGGAAGAAAGAGAGAAACATCAATGTGTGGTTGCCTCCAATGCGCCCCAGATGGGGACCTGGCCCACAACCCAGGCATATGTGCCCTGACTGGGAATCGACCCTGTGACCCTTTGGTGCACAAGCCAGCACTCAGTCCACTGAGCCACACCAACCAGGGCCCAATTATGACTTTTAATCCCTGTACCTTTCTTCCCCTTCCAGCTGATAACCCTCCAAATGACCTCCATGTCTATGATTCTGTTCCTGTTCTGGTTGTTTGCTTAGTTTGTTTAGATTCAGTTATGGATAGTTGTGACTTTGTTGTCATTTTAATGTTCATAGTTTTGATTTTCTTCTTTTTCTTAAATAGGTCCCTTTAATATTTCACGTAGTAAAGGCACAGTGATGATGAACTCCTTTAACTTTACCTTGTCTGGGAAGCACTTTATCTGCCCTTGCATTCTAAATAATAGCTTTGCTGGAGAGAGTCATCTTGGATGTAGGTCCTTACTTTTCATCACTTTCAGTACTTCTTGCCAGTCCCTTCTTGCCTGCAAAGTTTCTTTTGAGAAATCAGCTGAATAGTCTTATGGGAACTCCTTTCTGGTAACTCTGTTTTTCTCTTGTTGCTTTTAAGATTCTCTCTTTATATTTAACCTTTGGCATTTTAATTATGATGTGTCTTGGTGTGGTCCTCTTTGGGTCCCTCATGTTTGGGATGGTGTGCTTCCTGGACTTGTATTTTTCTATTTCCTTCTCCAAATTAGGGAAACTTTCTTTCATTATTTTTTCAAACAAGTTTTCAATTCCTTGCTCTTCTTCTTCCCCTTCTGGCACCCCTATGATTCAGATATTGAAACATTTGGAGATGTCCTAGTAGGCCCTTATGCTATCCTCATTTTTTTTGAATTTTTTCTTCTTGTTGCTCTGGTTGAATGTTTATTTCTTCTTTATTTTCCAAATCATTGGCTAGAAGCCTGGCTTCCTCCCTCCACTGATGGCTCCCTGTACATTTTTGTTCATTTCACTTAGTGTGACCTTCATTTCTTCCTTTACGTTGCTGCCATTTTTTGAACTCTGCATCTGATAGGTTGGTTATCTCCATTTCATTTCATTCTTTTTGGGGGTTTTCGTTCTGTTCTTTCATTTGGGCTATCTTTCTGTGTCTCCTCAATTTGGTAGCCTCCCTGTGTTTGTTTCTGTGTATCAGGTAGAGCTGCTGTGACTCTCTGTCTTAGTAGTGTGTTCTACTGTAGAAAAGGCACCTGTCAATTGTATGATGTGGAACCTTAGGTGATTGCCAGGGGTGGGGCAACCTGCTTCGCACTTTGTGGCTCTGTATGGGGGGAGGGCTCCGGGAGGGGACAATGCCGCTGCCTGGCCTCTGGAGGTCTGCCCCATTTCCAGTCACTTTACCCACTTCCTTGTGCGACTGGTGCCTCCCCAGCTATCGCCCTGGTGGTGAGTCCCAGAGAGGAGGCTTTGAGCAGATTCTAAGTTGGCATGGGCCCTTTAAATGGAGTTTCCTGAAAATCCGGCAGTTTCTTCCGATGCCCCAACCCCCACTGGTTCGTACAACCAGACGTTGTGGGGATTTATCTTCCCAGTGCGGGAACCCTGGGCTGTGTGGTCTCGTCTGGAGCTGCGATCACTCGCTCCCTAGGTGTCCCTCCTGATTTTCATCTGCCACACGTGCGTGTGGGACCTTCCGATCCACCGATCCACCGTTGCCCCTCTGCACCACACCGCTTCT